TTTCTTCTCGTTTCATGTAATAATCCGCGTCTTTTCCTATCGCGTCCTAGGGCGAAAAAAGGAACAAGAGGAACAACGTACTTCGACCGATGGTAATGACTTCCTTGTCTGTGCACCCGTAAGAATCTTGAAACCCCTGATTTGCGATTTGATTATGTCGTTCGCGTACTTATTACAATTTCTAAGTAGTGCGCGGCTACACTGGAGTGGAAAACGGCAGACTGTGCCACGTCTCGTTTTTCAATCAGTATCAGCATGTCGTCCGGCATATAATGAATGTTGTACGAGAGAAATGTACATGTTACAAATTTTTTTCAGCCTGTGTCACTTCATACACATACCGATCGATTTTATCGTAAATTTTAAATTATAATACTGAATAATTTATCATATATTAATAAAAATTCGCTAACAATAAACATTTATATGAATAAAAATAACTGCGCATCTTTTTTTAATTTAATAAAAAATTTATAAATTGTATACATTTTATTACTGAAACATATAAATAAATTGAAACATTCATGACATGCAAGGATCGTAATTTTTATAAACAAAAATACTTGATCGTTTATAGATTTAGAAAGCTTCTCAAACATGTAAAAATATGAGAAATTAAAATATGAGAAATTAAACTTACTATTTAAAATTTTCTGGTTGTTACCAATATGATATGTTTATATTATATAATGATATTTCCTACATCTAATCTACATATAATCATTACAGATTATAGATATGCTTTTGAAATTATATCGAAACGGATTATTAGCAATTAGCTGGAACCGAAAAAATCCACAGAATAATAAGTTAGTGGCTTATAGATAGCAAGCAACTAGAGAAAAAAAACACTCAATGGGCACAAAATAAAGGCTTGCCAATCTGCGTTTCCTAGTAGCAATAAAATTGCTTCTTTTACTAACAAGTCAGTTCGTACTATCGTAAAATTCGCGTTTTAGTGCCTTCGCGTTAGTTACACGTAAACCGTAACATCTAATCATATTCATTTATGTAATTACTACTGCCGTTGTTTTTATTGAGGATGCGGATGTTATTTTTTTTTTGTAAGGTTTACTTTAAATTATGCTGCACTGCGAATTGCGGTACTGTGACAACTGCAACACTTTTATATTCTTCATGGAATGTTCTCTTAAATACGTAATGTAAACTCCGGTTAATTAAGAGTTTCGATGGATGAAAGAATCGCCATAAACCGTGAAGCGACATATAGGTGTTGCGAAGTTTATCGACTCTCATCAAGTTATGATCGCGCAATATTTTTTTTTTCACGCGAGGCGAGCGCAATAGTAAAGCGTCATCTCCGGCTGTGTCGCAAGTACTGTCGCTAGGACAATGTTGAGACTGTGACGATACCACACACGCGAGGACTTCTCGCACACTGGTGTCGTCTCTATTGTTATTGGATAGAATGTCATTGAAAAATGGGGCCATGTAGCCGGCAAATTAATGCTTAATAATAAGTGGCGCCTGCATGAGCTTCTATAAGGCGGAAGGATAAAAAGCGGAAATATCAAGAGACGGATATGTATTTTCATTCGTACATAAAAATACTTAGCTCATGTTTAAAATAATTTTTTATTTTAAACTAATATTTCCTGCGTTAAATTTCCTTATAATTAATATTTCCTGCGTTAAATTTCCTAACATATTTTTGAGAAAATCATATATATGTTAATTAATATTTTTACAATACATGGGTCTCCGATCATTCGCAATCGGAACACACTACCAGATTAAGCATTTTATCCCGAATCTATAGAGCCTAATAATTTGTTGATCTGCAGCGTAGTTAATTAATAAACTATTTTTTTAATTAATTAAATTAATAAAATTTTTTTAAATCAATTTTATAATAAATAACAATAATTTACAATATTAGTAATACATAGAATACTTTGAAACACAGTGAATGACACAGATCAAAAATTTTTAACGATCTCAGACTTAGTGTTCAGGATAAAATGCTTAATCTGACAGTGTGACACTAAGTCTGAGATCGTAAAAAATTTTTTATCTGTGTCATTCACTGTGTTTCAAAGTATTCTATGTATTACTAATATTGTAAGAAATTATGTTATTTATTATAAAATTAATTTTACAAAATTTTATTAATTTAATTAATTTTAGAAAATAATTTATTAATTAACTACACTGCGGATCAACAAATTATTAGGCTCGATAGTTTCGGGATAAAACGTTTAATCTGGTAGTGTGTTCCGATTGCCGGTGATTGGAAACACCCTGTATATATAATTAGTAAATAAAAAAATTATTAACTGGATTAATTTCTATTAATATATGTAGACAATAAATTTATTAATACGAATTATACCAGAAGTAATCGTTTTTAATGAGATATATACGATATTTAATATAACGATTGTAAGCGACACATATCGATCTCACAATGCTCGTACAAAATCTATATCTAAAGTATACGATATATTATTTTATTTGAAATGCACAATAGTTCTTCGGTCCGCCAACTCGCGGCGGCATTGTCGAAAGTAACAGCCGGCAGACTGGACTATTACTCAAGAATTACATTACGTACGAAACACGGAGCCTGCGTACCTTTCGTCATCCGGACTTGATTGTTCTATTATGCAGAAAGCGACGCGGTTCGTCGCTAGAAAGTAAAGTACGTCATGCGTGTTTAAGGAAGACCGATTGCCGTGTCATCGTGCAACGCTTCCTCACTGAACTCAATGCAGACCTCGTCTACGAAAATAAATGTAGCAAACGAAACCGTGCGTGAACGTATAGACTATATTAGCGGTTAATTAATTGACATTTTCATGCTCGGTCTAACTTGAAAGAGCCGACGCATACCGAAGTAAATTTTATATTCTATTGCTGCTTAGAACATATTTTTTACACTTCCGTCTCACAACTATTATGTCAACCATTACTTTCAATTGTTCTCGCTACTTCCACAAAAATTTTACAATCACGCGCAAAATTATTTATTCAATGAGTTATTACTCATTAAATCAATAATATAAAAATATGCATGAACTTTTTTCTCGAGTAATACATGTTTACTACGTTAAAAGCTTATTAATATTTACTTGAACGTGACTAAATTACCATATTTTAATTTCCTACGTTATTTATTAGTATATAAAAAAATCATATTACTATCCATTTTATTAACAAATCAATTTATTATACAAATTTAAGTCCGTTTTGAAACAATTATATTAATGCTATATAAAATTATCTTTTAATAATATTTAATTAAAATTTTCTCTTATATATATTTTATATATTATATTATAGTATATCAAAGGTGCCGTATCTTTTGCGATCTAACAAGCGGAAGGTGGTCAAGGCCCGTGATTCCTAATCGCGATACGCGGCACGATAAATTACGAGAATCCCGCGGAATCACACCAACAAATTGCCGGTTGGTGCCTCATTACATTGCGGCGGACCGTAATTGGCGTGGTGAAATACCGTCGACAGACCGCGATTTAACAAGTCCATTGAGCTAATTCCTTTCGATGCGATCCGAAAATCGGATAGTTCTCGCCGCGAGCGAGCGACTCGACAAATCCAGATGGTGCGTTGAAAAAAAAACGAATATGTAAAGTTCGGACAGTCAGCGCGAGAATGAATATATGCGTAATCACAGAACTAATCAGAATTTGCGTTGCGGGCGATTTTCTCGTTGCCCAATCGTTGCTTAGTCGTATTACGTAAATATCGTACATATCTCGTTAAAAACGATTACCTCTGGTATAATTTGCTCATAACGTTGACCGTCCATGGTCGACGCGCACCTGAGATTTGTGGCGGATGATAAAAAAAAAACGGGAATGTCGGAAGCGTTGTCGACCCAGTGCCATGTGTCTCAGACACCGGTTGACAAGCGGTGTCGAGGGAACCAGGGTCTTAACTTGGTACACGCTCCGCGCGCAGGGATCTCTGGAGACGCACTAAACCCTCGGTAAGCGTCGACTTGTCATCGACGTAATTGACTTTCTCTCGTCTCGAGGATGAGAGAAACCTGGCAAGATCGCCCGTCGGTAAGGTACGAACTAATTAAGGAAATCCAATGTCCGCGGATTAATTAATAATAGCTCGATTGGATGCCCCGGAACAACGCGCGATCATCTTTTTTTTTTTATTTTTCACATAAATACGTTTTTAAATAAGTCACTATAGACGATCGATAATCTGCGTAAGACACGTGGCCATAATTTAACATTTGAAACGTTCACGCTTATAAAAATCGACGAATATGATCGAATTTGTTTCAAGGACAAACAAGAATAGCCGGTTTGGAAACAAAATAGTTAATTAATTCCAATCGCTAATTTCAATTTACATTCTGTAAGTACGTATCTCTTTCGCGTTGCCATCTTAAAACGTGCGATTTTATCGTTTATCGGAAACTGTATTGAGTTTACAGAAATAATTTAATACACTACTCTATAATTCAGACATCGTTATAAAGAATATAAAGCGGCTTATGTAAAAAAAAAATGATCATCGGTTACACTACCAAATTCAGATACTTCTTAATCTCATAAGAAATGAAAGCGTGAATAATCGATTTGTATACAGTACATTCTGTACGATGTCTTTCTGTGGCTGCCAATATAATAAATCTACGTGGCGTTCTCAAGGTGTTCCACGAAGCTCCTTGGAGATCGCGATTTAATATGCAACCACTGGCTGCACGCGGCCGATTCGATAATCTACGCGCGCTATTATCGAGCGTGATCATTAATGGATTGCAATTAATGAATCGTATATTTTATCGAGTTCCCCGATATCGACTATTGAAGTCGTCCCCTACACGTTTCTCGGCTGCGTGTTTTTCTCGCGAGAAATACCTCGCTCTTTGCCCACGGTGCATAACTGGGTCGTAAATATCGGTACCCGCAATTTAAACCATGTTGCGTATATGTCGCATATAAGCCTGCCAGTGCGATGCAATCTTTTTCACAAAGACCTGTTCTTTGTTTCAGATGGAGCGCCGATTCCCGAGGACACAGTTGTACACGAGGTAAGAAAAATTTTCGCAGACTAATAAAAAAAAACAGGCTCCCCGCGTTCCACATATAATTGCCTTATCGTACAATTCGCATATCTAAAGTCTAATTTAAAAAAAAAATTTGCGATACAATTACTCAATCCATTATTGAACGATATTTTTTACAGCATATTTCGAAGAGTAACTTAATTGAGCAGAAAATCCTAATACATGAAAAACATTAAAAATAATAATTTTTCTAAATTTTCGACTACTAATGGTATCCCGTAGAATTTTCATCAGTCCGTACTTACATTTATCACCATGAATGTAATGATATTTATTTACACCTCTGATTAAATAAAAGATTATTCGTGACTCACCAATATGATGCGCAACAGCGGAGTTGTAACTACGTTGATCTGTAACATACGAATATAAAATCCAAATTAAATTTGCGTCCAAAATAATTCATATCTAAGAAGTAATTATTACGTAAATTGAGTTTTTTATTTGCTTTTCAAGTAAATATTTCATAAAACAATTACGCAATTTCTAGAAAAATCAAATTTAATTTCTCAACTACTAATTAAAAAATTTGTAATGCAAAACTTTTTCATTTTTAAGATCTCAATTTTTAATCAATGAACAATCGAAAATTAAACAAAGAATTAAGAATTCCTTTTTGCGAGTTACAAATAAAATGTACAAGTGAGATTAATTGACACTCGTGCCAATAACTGAAAAATAATTGCACGAATTTATCCCATTTTCCTTTCAAGTAAACATTTCATAAAATAATTATATAACTCCGAAAAAGACAGTTCAAGATCAGGTTTTTAAATATGAATTTTAAAATTTTCAGAGTAAAAATCTTTTATTTTTACACAAATTATCCCAATGAATAATCAGAAATTAAACAAGGATTAACAGAAACTCACAGAATTAAGGAATCAAGGAGGTTCTCTACGAGTAACAAATAACATGAGATAATCACCTCGTGGTTGCTCCGCCGTCGCTCGATGCCTCCCAGGCCTCCTCCTGCTCCTCCTGCTCGTCCTCCTCCTCCTCCTCTCAGATTCCCTCGAAATCACTACACACTCGCGGAAATTCGATTAATTACTACTCGCGCTAATCATCAGAATAAGACGATCGCGCGTCACTTGGCGTGGCACTCCCGATTAATGATACGCGACGCACTTATCATATCACGATGGAAGTAAACAACTGAAGAAACAAACAAAAAAAACGATAGAACGATTCGCTGGGATTCACTCGACTGACTCGACACTCGTATGTCGATTAGCGTTTAACACACTGACGGACACGACGCGTCGCGACATTTTGCAAACTGACGAAATCTAAACGAGACTCGACGATGATACGCTTTAATCGTTGATATACGAAACACTTATGATCACACGGTCGATGAAATTACAAATGCGAGGTCAACTACGACTGTAATTATTGATCACGCGCCTCAGGACGCTACTTGATACGGGCACGACTCGTTTCGGCACCACGTAATGCTCCGATAATGGCTGACGAAACTATAGCATCGCTATGAATGTAGCGTCGCGTCGTACGGCAACTTCACTTCGAACGTGCGACTCAGCGCCGATTAGGTTAACTACTGGTCAAAGCCGCGATGGGCCGTATACGAAAATATACCGTCAAGGCGTACGTACGCAACAAATTTAGAATACGCGAATCTCAAATGAATTGTAAATTGTGTTATTATTTAATTGACATTATCATGCTTTCTCGTTACTTTCCGAATCGTTCTACGCACCGATTCGCGTATTATTCAAGTTGCCGGTAATAATTATATATATCGAGAACACAGTTATATTTAGAGCGATAAAAATAGTCTCAAATGCGACACGCCGCTGCCTATATCGTTTTTTCAATCTCGAGCAAGCAATATTGCGCGAAACAATTTGCCTTACAAATCAGTAAAAAAAAGAGATACCTCGCGACCTCGGTGCGCTTGCGAATGCCGTCGACGGGGAGCTCCTGCTTACTGAATGTAGCCTACACGCGCGGCAACGAGGCGACGCGGCGCGGTGGCCAACCAATTTATCGTAAATTATCGCTTTTTCGTAACATGGCCATCGAATGGCCATTGTATCGCATTTTACCGGCGTGATGTATTTATGGACGGAAGCTACTAATTAATCGTACGTCCTGACTATTGTTATAATTATCTCGAATGATTGCGTTTTCCCTTGGTATTCCTCGCGATTATACGTCTCGCAGAAAAATAACGCGCTACGACATCGCGCCCTACCTTCCCCACTCGGTCGCGCTGTGCGAATGATAACAAGACGAGCGCCCGCCGCCCGTACACAGTAGGCCGCTACGATACGCCGCGGCGCCCGAGGCAAGGCCAAGGCCATCGCCGGCGGACGATGTAAACAATGAGCGCCGGGCGGCGGGCGTCGCGCGCCGTTGTATACCAAAATACCAAATCGCCAAATTCAACGAACGAAATTATACGAATATTCTGTTTCTTACTTCTTATTCATTTTACATTGAATGGACGACCTCTCGCGTATCGTTTTTCAAATGCATTAGAGTCGTTAAATATGTATAACTATTGATTTTCAATTTAAACGTCTTTATTAGAAAAAAAAAAACGTAATGTAACAGTTTACATTTGTGTGAGTAGAGATCGATTTGTTAATATTAATTAATTGCTACGGTATACGGCGTAATTCTAAAATATGTATGCAAAAAATTAAAGAAGGAAAATTATAAACTCACCGTAGACAAGGCCTGAATCTATAATTCAAGTTAGAATTCTGTAATTATCCAAATGAAATTTAGAATTTTATATGCTGTGTATATATGTGTGCACTTTAATATACATGTTTGTCTGATTTTTCAAATATTTTTTGTACTGAGCCCATTTTAAAAGTCTATAATTCGCATCAAAATGCAGAATAAAATTCTGTTTGTAATTTTCTATGCCAATAACACGAAAAACAATTGGGGAAAATTTAAATACATATATTGTACATATAAAATACGTATTAAATTACACACATATACAATATACAGGTGAATTATAAATGAAAACGTACCGAATTTTTATCTTAAAGTCTAACAAAAATTATAAACCATCTAAAATAGGCTTTTACACAGCACATAAAATTAGAATTAAAATTATATCCCAAATTCCGACATATAAAATGAATCATTTACATTTACAGTTTAATTATTAATTACATGGCCGTGGTTGGCCTTGGCCTTGGCGCGTAACAGCCTGAATCGCGCTGCACTTATCATATTATCCCTTACATAGTACAAACTCAATATCGCAATACGTAGCGACGTGATCCTTTCTGTGTGTCATAATGTTATCCTTCGGATCACGATAAGTATCAAGGAAGATACAATCACTATAACTGATCAGCGATCATCAACGATCGACCATTAATTAACTCTCACCATTGACGATTAGTAAGCGTATCGAGATTATTTATCAAAGTAAATATTTCGTACGATTTATTCGAAAAAGTAATTGAAGTGAAAATAGAAAATAGAAGATAGCAAATTACTGTTTTGTAAAAAATTCACTGACGCTAACAATTTCTTGATAAAAATGATAGAGAATTTAAAATAGATTTTAAGTTAAAATTAATATTATCTGAGATATAAAAAATAATAGATGATAGATTTTAATGTATAATTGTAACTGCGTAAGCGCAATTACAATTTCTCTCTTTGTTAGCTTTGATTGTTTATCTCGAAAACCGTAATGATTCCAATATTTTTATAAAATTTTTTATTTTAATTAATTTAAAGTATTAAATTATAATATTGTACTCGTATTGGTATCTGTAGAATATCTTGTTTGGTATATCGATCGAACATTGCGTAGCCACAGGAATATTTTATACGGAATTTACATGAATATTTTACACTTTATCGATAAATTCAGAGATATTATCTCGTTTAAATAAAATACTTCTTTCGTATTAATTTATATAAATTAAGATAGTTATCCGTATAATTATTAACACCGACTATTGTTCGATTTCTATTTGAACAACGACACGATCATCAGATAAATTAGATCATTTTTTTTGTTAATAATAAATAACAATTCTCTCATTGTTTCTTGTAACTTCGTAATCCTTTCTAAAAGAAGGCAGAACTTAGCGCGGCGCAATCGGTCGGGATAAATTATTAGCAACAAAATCGGAAATTGTTATATTAAAGCAATAAAATTAAAGCAATTAAATAGAAGGTAATTTCTGTACAAGTTGGATTGTGATGACTGTACCAGTTTAATAGACGTAACAATATTATTTTTTGTAAATGTTTTAACGCTATCTTGGAGCAACATAAAAGCAACAATATAGTCAAAATCGAAAAACATTAAATAGTGCGCGCAAAGCGAGCGTCTGTAATACTCATTTTTTAAAATGAATAGACTTAAGCACAAAAAATAAATGAAAACCGTTAATGACAGCTTCTAATGTTTAGTGCAATTCTTTATTAAATTAATTTTTAAAAAATCTTACTTAGGCTTATCTAAACTTTTTAAACGAGAAGGAAAAGTGCGAAGCTACAATCAGAGAATTAGAAGAGACATTATAAAATCATTAACTTGTATTTTACAATCGATTGATCGCTGATCAACATCGTCGATTTTGTTGGGATTTCTACAGTGATTGCCGCACTTTCGCGTATCATAACACATGTACTTCGATAATAAAGCTCAAGTTTCTTCATACAATGATTCGCGCTGCGCTAAGAATTACAGGATCATCTATCGTGTATAGCCCGCGGTTTCTTCTGTGTACCGATTGTCCCTAATTCACATATAATTTATACCAACTGGGAGTAGAGACGTTCCTGCTAATTGGGTACTGCATGCACTTCGACGAGATAATATAATAATTTGCAGGTGTATCGCGCGCGTACATTTCATACGAGAACGCGTTGCGATACTAATTTGCGTCCTGTAATCGCGTAATAATAACGTGTCCTTCCCGCGTCTTCTCCCCCTTTTTCTTCTCAATCTATCTCGATCGTTATAGAGAATGTTAAGCCTCTCGTGATGCTTTAAATCCCGTTTAAATATTGCACGTTAAAATGTTGAGATAAAATGTCGAAATAGATAATACGTTTGTACGAACAAGCAAGCGGTAAGAACTTTCTAGTCAAACGCGTGCTATTTGATCAGTAACGCTTTAATTCCCAAGTTTAAAATCACTTGGCCCAGCGAAAGTATATCTGTCAGGTGTGCAAATCGCGGAACTAATTACGCTCTGTAATTATGTATGACAATTGCAATACGTCTTTCTGTTTTATAACTTTCTTATCATTAAATCAAGTATGTCCAATATGTCTTGAGGTTGGAAAGCTTAATATTTTCATTTAAACAGTTACCTAATAATATGACATAAATACACGTTATATCTATTACTATAACACACAGTCCTTTCATCCATTTTGTTAAAATGACGCTTATGTTCGTGTATTTTTTTTTTTAGAAATAATAATACCCTTTATTTCAGTGAACTTTGATGAATACTCATATCATGAAACATTCAGATCTATATCGGGGAACAAATAAAAATTGGAATGCTAGTACTTTTACTGCAACGTCAATCTTGCAAATCATGCGAATGATTGACTGATTAAATCGTGTTTTCTAATCATATAATTATAGCTTTTTATCCTCATATTCTATGTATATTAGATGATAATGTGCAAAACTACTTTTATATGTCTACTACTGTCTTCTATCTTTATCACTTTCAATAACGAGATTTTTTATTTATCTTCTATTATTTCATAGATTATCCGCATACGCCATATCATACAACAAAATTTTGAAAGATTTTATTAAAAATTAATTAATAATATTGCAAATAATTTGTTTTCTAATTAAAATTAACGATTGCACATTTTAACTCTCCGTAATTACTAATAATATGGATATTTAATGATTACGCGCCAATAAAGCTTAATGAACACTTGGATTGAAAAATTTTAATTTAAGTTTAATTTAATCGTTTCGCAAACTATGAAATATTCATGTAATTTTTCACGTAATATGTGATGTCGCAAAGGTAGTCTTTCAATTTGTCTTGCTGTAAAGATGACAGTGCCACCTAATTACATTAGTTGAAGAAGGCTTACAATTATATCAGGATGATTAACTGCGACACGTTGTTTCGTGATACGATCAAAACTTCGTGCACAGTATCTCGCTCGCCAAGTCTATCGCTCATTTCTCATTACGAACCGCGATGAGGCATCCATCATACTCGCGTCCGCCGGTGCATGCTGAATTTATTGTTTAAACAAGTTCATGTAACATTCGGAATGGCCAAGGGCTATGATCCTTTTCTGTCAAAACATTTTTCGCGCGCCACTGATTTATAACCGCTTTATTGCAAAATCATATTTATTCTACTCATTTGGTTATAGTATTATGAAACATTTAGATATTTACATAATACAAAAAATGTGCATACCTCATTGTTTACTGCTTAAAAACTTGGAAGTTTAATGTCTTGTCGTGATTAGATTAAAACCTTTACTAGTATTTTCACGAATTTTGAGTTGACGTATACAAGAGGCAAATCTTACGTTAGTCGCGTTTGTAAAGGTAACTCCAATACAGCAGCGAGGTATTATATTAACTTCGAGAAGGCAGACACAGTTACGTTGGAGTGCTGACCTGACATATTCGTAACAATGCTAGGCGTGTCGCCGACGTGTTGCAACCAATTTCAACGACCGTCTATGCGTTTCGTTCGCATTACCGTCGCGACGCGTGAGCATACGCGTGCACCGTGCACAATCGAAACGCGCTATTGTGGAACGGTATGTGTGGACGGTATACCAACGTATGTACGAGTCATAACGTGCTTATGGTAACTGGTCTTGCATAGGCGGTCGCTGGCACGAAGATGCCTTAAATGTCAAGGCGAGGACACGATGGACTGCACGAACACGCAGCAGGCCGTCTCTCTTCGGCCTGCACGCTCGGCTGATGCACTCCGCGAAAGGAACTGTTGCACCTCGCATTCATTGAAATCTTTCCTGTCAGGCTTGAATAATCTCTAATCACTGCAACCTTCACTGTATTGTAGATACTACGAAATGATTTATTTAAAAAATGGTATAGAAAATGATGATTCAGGAAATGGCTGTTCCCGTTTTTTTTTTCTTGAATCAGGAAACTGATTTGAAAACGCGATAAGACAACTGTGTAAGAATTGTAAAAAAAAAACTAAGCTAATTTTCTAGAACTCTTGTTTAATTTCCGTTAATGCATAATTCACCATTATCACGTAACGTGATTTGAAGTGATTGAAAGTATTCGTAGAAATGCCATTTTGAAACAATATTAAATTATTAAAAATTATATAACAGAAGAATTAATATTTTTTTTTACGTTTGTATCACGTTCGTTTACGAACGACCACTGACAGTAATTCATGGTTGTTTGAAATCAATTTCCTGATGTTAAAGCTGACCGACTGTTCCGCTCGTTACACGGGTTTCCGATGTGTATAACCAGGTGTTTTGAAAGCGCGAGGAAAGTTCATGAATTACAAGCTATTGAATTTAGGAGAGTGCATTTTAGCGACTCGTAAAACATTTTTCCATTCGCGCGTCGATTGCATCGTGTAGACTTTCTCCCGAGTGCATCGATGTTTATTGTTCGAAAGACGACGCTAACTTTCAGTCTAACCGTGGGGAAATCTTTTTCTCTCTGTTTCAGGACTCCGTGGCGTCGGCGTCGGAGGTAGGCGAGGAGTACGACGATTCCGACATGTATATGGAACCGGATGAGTCAGGGGCGACTGCGCAACCGGAGGATCGCGCGGAGGAAAGCACGCAAAAGACCAATCAACGCGAGACGTCAACCGACACCACCGACAAGAGTAACGAGAAATCATCCGAGGCTGAGAAACCTGAAGCTGCCAAAGATCAGGAGGCGAAGAACACGGATCACACTGCCATCGCGCAGTTCTCTGACGCGGGAGACAGACGTTTGGAGACCGAGAGTCAAAATTTCTTCCCGTCCTTCGCGGAGCTCTTTGGAAATCACAGGCTCTCGTTCGCGGAGCAGCAGCAGCAGCGGCAGTACCGTCCTAACAGATTTCTAGGCTACTTCCAACGCGATCGCAATTATCAGGCCGCCGCGACTAAGGATCACCACTCCATACTGGGGTCAGGTAACTTCGGCGTGATCCGCGGCGGCACTTACTATCCGGAGGAGAAAGAGAACGACGAGTACTCGGTGGACGAGAGCCTCTACAATCCGTACTATCATCGCGGTCGTGCGCAATATTATAGAAACCCGAAACCCCAGCCGATACGCGGCGGCGATTTCTTCGCGAACTTCCGCGATTTCGCCGACATCACGGCGCCGCCGAAGTCCAGTTTCTCGCACCTCTCCGTGGTGTACGCCAACAAGAACGGCAGTTCCACCGGACGTGTCACGGAACCCAGGAATATCATTGAAACTCTCAGGATGTTGGAGGAAGAGGAGCGATCCAACGCGGAGGAAGTGTCCACTACGGAAGAGCCGAAGAAGAAGCAAAGCAAGGGCAAGTGGAAACTCATGAAGATGAAGCAGTACGAGGAGGATAAAGCCAGAAGATCTCGCATGTCCGTCGAACCGCTGCTCGCTCTCAGCTGAGCGTAAAGGAATGTCGTTTAAAGTGTACGTTAATGTGGACGCAAACCTCGGGATTTTCTCCCAAACGCGGAATTTGGCCTCGAGATCAGAACTAAAGTCTGAAAAGCGTCGTTTTTTTTTCTATTATTGGAGAAGAATGTACTGAAACCGTGCGACAGGAACAGAGAGGGTCCGCATCTTCGTTCATGTGCGGACGATACTGTGCGTGCATACGAACTTTTCGAACCGAGCCGAAAAGCTGGCGACTGGAGAATTTCGAAATTATAACGCGCGACGCGCGTCGCCAGTTAAATACGGTATACAATTCCTACCATTGGAATTCCGACGCTCTGTATCGATACGGAGGTATAAGCGAAAGCATCAGTTTATAGTTTTAAACGTAGCACCGTACAAAACTTCTATATCATTTCTTGAGCGATGCGAAAAAATTTGGATTAATTAGTAGAACTTAAGATGATAGCGTTAAGAATATAAGGCATTGTACCGTTCCTGTTTATCGGCTAATTGTTAGATCTAAAACGCACGTGGCCTTAACGTTTAAATTATTCCCTAAGTTAGATGGTAACGCGTGTGAGTTTGAAGGATCCTAAATATAAGATTTTTCGAGACTACAGTGCGTCGATTAAGAAATTCCATGTGGTGCTATATACGTTTCGCCGGTCGTACAAACACCTTCTGGAGAAACGTTCCCGTTTCGGCGAGGCGCTTGCAAAGCAAACTAACTGGCAACGATTATTCACAGAGACCTTTTACGTTGATTGAATTCACTTGCTCGTACGTGAACGTCACGCTCGAGTAAGCCATGATTCCGGAATCGGTAACTCTTACCATACGACACTTGCGTTCGGGCTAAAACCACGAGGCTCGTGCGCGCGGCCTCGTTATCCTATAATTATGCGAAATGCGTAATCACGTAGGATATACTTCAGAATATGAGATCTATTTTTCTTAGCAGTTTTTACATTTACATTCGTTGCTCCTCTTTCTTTGAAACGTAACGTTTCGTTTCAGGTGTTAAAAGTGTAAAAATGAAAAGCGAAAAGACGTAGACCTGTGAAAAGTGTACGCATTACAATTTTAACCGCGTCGAGTTGACTTGCGAAAAACTCTTCTCTTGGCATTACCATAAATTATTCGACTCTGCCCTTCTATATTTTAATGTTTTATAGCTAAAGCGGAAACGGGTTGCCATCGCGTTTATCCGTGAAATATTATGTTAGACACGCGCGGCTTTGCGTGCATCAGCAATAAATTAATTTTAATTGGCTATACTTTAAGTGTGTGAAGATCCATATATATTCAGTAAACTAATAAAGACTGCTCATTTTGTATTCGCTATTGGTTATAAAAATATATTAATTATTTTTCTCCATGCTGCTTAAGTTCAAAATTAATTCATGATGAAATTGTGATTTAATAAGAAATACTCTAAACACATTTCTTGTAATTCAATTACAATGAATTATGGAATAACGATTCACTTAACTGAAGAAGTCGTACTAGAATTCCCGTAGAATTCCAGAACGATTTTCATCCCGGACGAAATTCATCAATTTCTGAACAAACAAAAAGACGATTCCATAAATTGACGAAAATTCTTCGCCGTAGATCTCGACTTATTGTTGTTTCACTTATTGTTGACTATTTTAACTGTATCATTAAACTTATTGACCTACTTAATTATTCAAAACATGCGCGTCTCCTTCAACTCACTTCATTTTGAAAGGGCGCGATAAAAAAATTAAATAAAATATATTTTTTCGAAAATAACGTTCCTATCCTATAATCCTACGTTAATTCTATAAAAAATATGCACTGTAAGGTAGGTAACAATAATTTTAATAAATCTTTTAAAAATAATTTGCATGAAATAAAAATATTTGAATCATAAAATTAATATACGGATTGACGTAACAAAAATGTTTGCTTCTTATATATAAATATAAAATACATATAAATAATATAGTAAATAAACAAAGTGTAACATATTACACAATATGTATGATTTTCAAAGACGTTTGCATACAAATTACTTTTCCATGCATTTTTTTAACATTGTGACGAGTTTACCAATACCATCGTAAACTTCTGAATAAGTAGCTGGTTCGTACAACCAAGCTGGTGTACTGAGAACGCCGAAGTTTTTGTCTATCGTTACTCCTTTAACATCTTTCATTTCTATCTTAGCGCCCATGGCCTTGACTTTCTTGATAGCATCAGCGTATGGCCAGTCTTTTTTCGGTGCTAAAAAGTAATTTTCAAATATTACAAAATGAAGGCTATCAACGATAAAATCAACAGACTTACAGTCCTTGCCAAGTGTAACTTTCACACCCTTCAACACTTTGGCAACAACCGCACTAGCTATACACATAGTGGCGATTGGTTTTTTCTCGCAATAAAAATCCTCAATGAGCTGTTGTAGGTCGGGTAGAACGGTGCAATCGGTACCTTTTTCGGCAAAATTACTCCTTTATAAAGAAAAAGTTAAGCAAAATAATTAGGAATTTGCTTAATTATTATTGTGTTTTAATGTCGAAATATGTGCCTTTGAAATCTATAACGTTGACACTTATGACGTTTACTACCTAATAAGGCAGAAAAATATCTTTCTATTTTCTATATATATACATATTATATTATATTAATTTATTTTATTTTTTTCATTTTATTATCTATTTCCACATTATTCAATTATCATATCAACACGTACAAAGTGCGTGCAGCGCCAAATCCTCCAGGTATAATAAGAGCGCCATGCATACAAGCTTCGCACTCGCACAGAGGTTTTATACAGGTTCTTGCTAATCTGGCAGCTTCAACGAGAGCATTTCTGGAACTTGTGGTATCCATCTCTCTGGTAAGATGATTGACTACACCGCGAATTTCAATATCCGGAGCATAAAATAGTGGCTTCATCTTTTTATGCCGTAAGTGTATGGCTGCTGAAATAGCTTCCGAAATTTCGGTGCCGTCAAGTCGGCCACATCCACATAATATCTAGAAACAGCAAATGTATTATCAAAAATTATTAAATATTAAAGATATAATACCTATATCTTCCATGTTTAACATATAAAGATATGTTAGAAAAATTAAAATTGGCATATTTAAAGTTTTTCCAGCTATATTATATTTAAAATAGTATTGATCGTAACAAGAGAATGCATTTAGATTTGCGATTATTCCAAAAAATTCTAAATATGTAAAAATAAGTCAGCCAAATATCTACAAAGTGCTGAAAACTAACGTATATTTTAATCGAGTATACAGATAATACAAAAATCGGAAATTGTAAATTCATACAGAAACACCTAACATCTCTTTACGCGTACGCAGGTGACGAGCTGCACTAAAATATGATATCATAAACACACCTCTCGCATTCGCGCTATAAAGATGTATTATCACCGCAGAAATTTAATAGCTCGCAAGTAACGACTACCGGTACATTTTCTTGCGGCAATTCTTTTGCACAGAAAAACTTTAACCGCTTCCCGCAATAAGCACCGATGAAATATTGCGTTACGTCATGCCGCGAAAGTAGAATACTGACATTATTTTTAGCTCATATGCAAAATCATACAAGGAAAAAGTTTTTAATAGCACTGACATGGTGAATCTCAAGCGAGCAACTGTATCTTACAGTTGTTTAAACTGGGAATTAAACGAAAATTATGACGATTATTTAATACCAAATATTTTTCTCCCAAATGTTAAATAATTTTATAACATCATGCGTAAGTGCATGTTTAAATTTAATTGATATTAAAAGTATAATTTTTTTATAAATAACTTTGATAAAAACGGACATACGTAAAATATAAACTTTCAGATTAACGGAATACCCTACAAGATGCTTTAAATAAGTCAATATTTCAAAAACAAGTATTTATATGCATGATTTTCTTAAATAGATAAATTGTACATAAGTTAATACATGTAATAATAATTTAGCATAAATATCTTTGCACAAATTACATCCACAACTTCACGTAAATATTTTCTGCCTTATCAATATGAAGAAGCATTTACTAAAAGAGGATATGATTATTGTATAATAATTGGTACTTACCACGGCTACAGGTATGGCTTCACAGCTTTTATCTTGTTTCGTTTTACGTTTTCCTGCGGAAATTTGCGATGTGTGGAGATTATTATAAAGCGCAGATATAAAAGCCGGGCTGTCATGTCGCAAGAGAGACACGACTTGTGATCGCAACATTTCTTCCGTGGACAAGGATAAGGTAAATTTTGATATTATTAATTAAACGTGTAACGTGCAACGTGTCTTTTCACGTCACATCACGAAGCATCATATGCAATTTCGAATAATTCTTGCAGAAATGTCTGCCGCGATTCGAGATCGAGATCACGATCGCGACTTGTTTCTAACAGCGTTTCTATAGAAAGGAACCTTCTTTGTTAACCGCGTCTCGCAGCAACCGTGAAGTTCTAGCCATTTTCATAAGAGTGCGGGCTTATTCGGAATTCCAGTTAGTGCCCTCGAATGTCTAGCAGAGGAAGTCTCTCACCCGGTCGATACGACGGTGTCGCATTAACCACCGTCGGTTTGTCCCAACTGCAATTTCGTATAAGCTTTATAGCAAGAAAGAAGAATAATATAAAAAGTGGATACAGATAAGGGGAAAGATGAAATTAAAAAAAAGAAGCAATATCTCCGTAGCAATATCTCCCACGCTTAAATAAACATCGGCAGGGTAGGTTGAATTTACTTTATAGCTCGTATAATCTTTATTGTGCTCTAGGAGCAATTTTCGCACAGACTATGAATATAAAACGCATCAGGGGGTGGGTGGTAAGATTTAACAACGCCACGAGGCAAAGGACGGCTATGCGTGATAATAAATCCCGTTGGCTCATTGAAATATAAAGTAGTTTGTAAATCTACCAAAAAATCGATTTTTATCGGCATGTACAGAGTGATCTCCGCATCGCCTATAGAAAAAGAATTGTTTATATACGTTTCATTTACACAAATTAATAATTCGTAATTTACTGTGTATTTATTCAATTTTAAAAACCTTTACATACATTGCAATCAGTATTAATTTATTTGTATTGCTTCATATTCATATTCTTACTATCTAAGCGAATATTATTACTGATAGCGAAGATTATTTTTGCATACTATTTGTTAAAAGAGATCAATTTATTTATTTATATGAATTCAATCAATAATATAGCTGTTGAACCAAGCTGGGTGTACGTGCTAATAATATGTGTTGACTGCGGTGGTAAACAATCTTTAATATCATATAAATATACTATTATACAAATTATATCAAACGTTTCGACTCTTTTACATATCGGTTCTCAGTGGGAATATAATAAATTAAATACAAAACTTACATTATATGTCAACGCATTCGCTCGCAAATTATATTTGTCTAATGTTTTAACAAAAATTATTACCTTATCGTCTAGATCTTTTGGAAAGCGTCCTTAGTTAATTTGTATTAGAAACCGTGTGACTTACAGATAGATACATGTAAAAATTTGAATATTCAGAAATCATGTAAATTTACGGTTCGATTCTAAATTATAGATTGTCAAATTATAGTGTCAAAAATTGATATTCTCAAGCTGTTAGTGTCCCAATGTGCACCCTTTAAGACGGAAAGACAGAATTCCGTCTTTTTATATATTATAAGTATAAGTATATATTATATGTATAAGTATTTAAGACGGAATTCCGTCTTTCCATCTTAAAGGATGCACATTGGGATACTAACAGCTTGAGAATATCAATTTTTGACACAATCTATAATTTAGAATTGAACTGTAAAACATGATTTTTAGATATTCAAATTTTTAACATGTATCTATCTGTAAGTCACACGGTTTCCAATACATATGTACTAAGGATGACGCTTTCCAAAAGATCTAGACGATAAGATAATTTCTGTTAAAACATCAGACAAATATAATTTGAGAGCGAATGCGTTGACATATAAGTTTTGTATTTAATTCATTATATTCCCACTGAGAATGATCGCTACATAAAAGAGTTGAAATTTGGTATAATTTGTATATTAGTTATTTATATAATATTAAAGATTGTTTACCACCGCAGTCAACACATATTATTAGCACGTACACCCAGCTTGGCTCAACAGCTCTATTATTGATCTAATTTGAATATGAGTCTCTTATGATTTATTAAATTTAAATTTATATTCAGATGAATTTGTTTAAACACATGATTGTAAAAAATATATTTGAACAAATTATCAAGTTATAAATAAAAAACTGATCAAATACATGTAAAACATTTAATAATAAATAAAATAATGAAGTTGTAAAAACTTAGAACGAAAGATAGCTATTCTCAACCAAGTTTTTCTTCTCATACATACTTCAGATATTGCCGTGCGACTTCTTACAAGATTTGAAGATTAGATAACATTGAAAAAAACCCGATAAAAAAGAATCTTAAATTACATCGGATCGTCTGTACTACGCCCGAATCGACAATGACGCTTATCGCATCGTACGTCATACAACGCCGCTTTATTATAATTATCAGTGCGAGATGAGCGCACCCCGGAGCGTTGTTTCACCACGACACCATTTCGTCGATCCCCTTACCGCGAGGCATACGAAGGCTTACGCATAATCTTATGTAAATCCCAAGCCGCCCTTATGCTTGCACGTCCTTACATCGAGGAAGGAACGTCGTACATGGGTCGGCTTCTCGGGTTACGCAGCGAAAGGGATGCGTAGACGATGGTTCAGGGGCGCTCGCACACGAGGCGAGGGCACGGGGCTTATATGAATGTTAAAATAAGTTTGAAATTGTCGCGGACAAGTTCGGCCCCGTGGGAGGTACCCGTCGAGTAATTTCACGGCGCCGGCGGTTTCGACCCTTCGGCAAGTTTGCAACCAGCCGCGGATTCGTAGAAACTTCTGCGGCTCCGCGGCGCGACTTCCGCCACCTTCGCCGATAGGTTTGGCGATCATTTACTTTGACCCTGGGAAAAAGGTTGTAGTGCTACTGTTTATCGTTTCTTGATGGAAACGATGCGAATTATAATAAGAGGACAGTAGCTTGTAATACACGAGATCTAATCCATTCGTATTTAAGTTTGGAAAGTGCTTGTGAATCTATGTTGTAACTTAAATTTAAAGTAAAAAGATGACATGTACAATATTATACGATAAATAAATTGTAAAAAATTCATTTGTATTATCTTATGTCTAAGACTAACAATAAGTTGTTTAGTTTCTTCCTGCAAGATAGAGGCAAGTCACTGTTATACGAAAACAATTTTTCCCCGCGCTGATTTAACGAGCACTTAATAAAGCGTCGTTGAAAGACACGCGGATAGGAAAACTAACGAAGTTTCGCAGACGAAGCGTGGCGAAGAGACAAAACCGCCAGTATCTTGACACGCGAACTAAAGCCGTTTTGCTGCATGACAGCTTCGTGAGATCCTCTTTGCCGGTACGTGAGTCTCGCCCGTGGAAGGCACCCCCGCGCGTCGTCGTTCGCGAAAAGTTTAAATCACGAATTCGCGGGGAGACCGAATTCGTGGCGCGTCCCCCACGGCGCGCAGACGAGGAGATGCGGCGAGGGTCGTCAGAGAGTTCACCGGGCGGGAGTCTGATGGGTAAATGCGATGTGATGCGAGTAACTGAGTGGCTAATTGAATGAGGTGCCTCCCAGGAGCGCCGATCCGTCGCGTGTCACACGTCAGAATTTGCGCAGCGGGAACGCGAAATTACGACGATTGTCGGTCGTGTGCCAATTATCGTCGCGCGGTATGATTGCCAGTGCGGGAAATTATGCGACCGAATGATGCCGGAATCCTGGCCGATACATGTGCGTCGGCAAATCGAGCTTGCTAGGCAGCTCGATTCGCCGCCGGCAGCCGCGCGACATTTCTGCCGATCATTAATAATCCATTAACGGTATTGGACGCTTCGATTTGCAGGAATGCCCGATAACGATGCGACCGAGCGACAGGGGAGGAAAAAAGGAGATCGTTTGTCAATTTCCCGGTTCGCTGCTGATTGGTTCCTGAGCCGTGTCGCGCTACGTCCATACTTTATGCGTATAAAACTCCAGAGACGGGAGTGATGCGATGTTAAATACGGAAGTAACGATCCGGAGATTGCGAGTTTTAGATTATTGAAAAAAGAAGCGACAGATTTGGTTTCACCTGTGGAACTCGTTATTAATGTAAAGTTAGATGAAGCTTTGGAACGATGATAATTTAATTTTTTAAATAAACGTGCTCGGTGCGAAGAAAATATGATTCTAAATAAAAGTAAACAAGTAATTAAGCGTTATTACAATGTACGTAAAAGTATGTTGCATGTTCAAAATTGGGACGTAAGACGTTTTAAAGATATCATTGAAGACACGCAATCTATCACACGTAGGTACTCTTTGAGTATATTTAAATAATTGCAATGTTTAGAAAATTTGCAATTGGTTTGCTTTTTTTAGATTTTTGTGAAAGCGACGGATCAGTATCAGAAGCAGTGTAAGCGGACGAAGGCTTACGGCATTGCGGATTGGTAAAAGAGGCTGTTTATGCATTCTTGGCGCGAAGGCAATCGTGGGGATGGCGGGTGCTGGATGCCGTGCGAGAACCAGACAAGAGAACAATTACGCGCCGTCAGTCCCGTGACCGGCAGGATACCATGAGGTGAATCAAAACTAGGTGTGTGCCATCACCTCTGGGCCAGGTCTATCTTCGCGTTCCGAGGCCACGTTCTGCGTCCCGGAGGAGAAGGATCGAATCTCGATCGGTAAGCGAGGTTGGCAGAATAGACGAGCGTCTGCAAAGAGCAATTTACGAGCGGGAAGTAAAAAAAAAGTACAAAACATTAGAAAGAAATCTCTGTGAGAAATGTGAAACATGTTCTTCTAAGAAGAACTGTAATAATATATTATTTTTTATTTTTCAGAGAAATTGAAATAATTGAAATTAATATAATTTCTTCATATTTTTATTTCTATCTGTTTTATGTTACATGAATGTTGCATAATATTTAACAGAAATATACATAAATACTTAAAAAAATAACAATAATTATAAAACGCTAAATTTTCTTTTTGTCGTATATACACTTTCTGAAGTTTTAGCAAATTTCTGAACAACCATTCGACGAATTATGAAAAATGAATATCTGGTGATCCACGATTAATGACATGGCGAACCATTTATTATCGAATCCCAGCAATGACAGGAGGATGTGGGTGATAATTTATGATTATGGATTGCTAGCATGTCCCATAATATTTTTCATAAAATAATTATATATATATATATATGTATATGTATAAGAAGATTCTGTTAAATTTTTATTTGAACTATTTCAATCGCGCGCACGCGAATTTGTTCGTAAAATCTAATATGATAAATAAAAATTTAATGTATTACGATCGAATCTTTTTGGTATTAATATCGATTTGAGTATATTTATCAAAAGTAAGTTAACAAACATTGTGTAAATTAAGATTTCTCCTATATTGAATCTGTTCCTTCTGTGAACTCTCTTATAGGAGTAATCACGGCAGCCGATAATTAATCGCATGTGTCAGTTAGTGCGACGTTTGCCTTTGTATTCTCGCGACAAATAGGATCGTGAAATAGGATCTGATTTTCACTAAGGGTAATCCGTTTGGTAAATTGCGAGATATTCACCGAATCTGTTGTAAACGTATGTATGCAAAAATGGCGTTAAATCCTCAGAGCAAAACGGCTGTTTCGCATCGCATACATCATTCGCCAGCAACGAAATTTAAAAGGTCTACCTACGCGCGAATATCAAGAAAGTCAGAGTGCCATTAAAATCTCCGTAAAGTTCATCTCGCCAGAATAAATGAATAAGTAAGAGGTCTCGTTCGTGGCGGAACGAAGGGGTCGGTCGGTATAAAGCGGCAGCATAAAGCGGTTTACACCGACACTTCGGTATTAAGCCTGGCGCCCTTCGGAAAGAATATGCAGTTTAAATCTACTCGCGAAACGGTCTGGGGGTGGTTGGGGAAAAAAACGGGCATTGGAGCATTTACATTTTACTGAGAATAAACACGGGCGCGCATATAAGACAATGCTCTCTTGTTGCTTCTTACAATTCTAATTTTTAAGAAGCTCATTCTTTCTCTTTGTTCTAATATAATTTGCGACTTCTTTTTAATCAATCTTTCCAACAATTTTCATTTAATTAATTTTTATGGTAAGAAATAAATTACTAATAAAATTTACATAGAAATTACTTCTTTTTAAATATTCGAAGCAGTCATTGAACTCAAAGATTCGACATGAGGGTCACATTACTCGATTATGACTACCGATTATTTTGTCCGAAGGAACGCAGAAGGAACAAAGAGTCCTCTTTGCAGAGCGCGGGCAGGCTAGTCTCGAGAATTCGAGACGAGTTTCGTCGTGAAAGAGTTTTATTGTATTTTTTTCATTAACAAGTCCGGCTCGGTCCCCAGAGGTCGGGAAAGTTGGCGGCGAGTTTTAGCGGGACTTTTGTTAATGTTCGGAATTAACGGAGTAAGGAGACTTTAAGTCATAAGGCCTCACGGGAACGCGGGGTTCGACGCGAACTTTCACGATTCTTTATTTCTTTATCAACTCCGACCCTCGCTTTCTACCTCGCGGAATGCTCGGCAGTGCGACCAAGCGTTTCCTTTTCCTACGGAAAACGTGCTCCATAATTACTTTGTTCGACACAATTTTCTTATTTTCATTTTTGTACGCCTCTTTTTATCGCCGCTTGTGAATATGACCGGCACGAAAGTCTCCTCGATTCTTATGTAATAAAGCCGTATCGCGTACGTTTATACGTATAGCTTCTTTACCGTTCCATGCTTGCGCCAATTCGTCCGGATTTCCCTGTTTCCGAGGGTCTGCGAGGGATCCAGTAGGGGACGATTTGGCCCGACAGCCGGTTGATTAGTTACATGAGAGTGGATACCGCTATTCTGCCCTCACTTCTACCTGTGCGACGCTGTACGTCCGCCTCGAACCCAAGCGTCGTCAATAGGATGCATATGTCAATCGCCATGCTAATGGTATGTCTAAACGTACACAACGCAATCATGTTACATTATGCGTGACGTTACGCGCGGTTTATGGGAACGTGTTTAAGTTGAGTGCAAGACACGCACAACAAGCATTTTGTACATTGAAGATGAAAGAGATGATTATACAGTGTCGATCAAATTGTTAATTAACGTGACAAAGCTCGCGTGATTGTAAAATAGAAATTATTTTCTTTGAAAATATATGTGTGTGTGTAAAAAATATTTCTTGATTGTAGCTCAGAAGCAGCTCCAAAAAGCCATTGTAACAATTGTTAAATATAAAAAGTCAAAGCTCAATTTAAACATCTAATCATAATTCGCTTCCTTGCATCTAAATTTTTTAAATAATATTATATATAATTAAGAGCGACATTCCAAACAATCTATTGTTTCTTTATAGATTTACGTAGTCTTTATGAAGTTAGAATATTTTTTTCTATCAATATCTGCACCGTACATTGACAAAAGCCATAAATCTAGAGAACCAATGTTATTTTTTCGCGCGTTTGCAAGCTGTGTGATGTACTGGTCCTATTACGCAACGCAGTCGTAATTTTTCGTGAAATAATGAAACGTTTCGTCCGCGAAACAAAAAGAGTAGCAATGCCGAATGCGGAAATAAATTGAAAATAATATTATAAAATTGATATAAATTTTCCAAATTTACATTTATTTACAAAAATAATAAGTTCTATTTTCACGTTTTTCACATATAGTATACATAAATTGAACAAGAAAATTTCGCACGAGTTTCGGTAATGAGGCGAAAATTGAGACAGCTTTATTAAGTTGAGGGAAGTTGCCCTGATGAAGTTACAATTACGGCCCCTTTGCCCACCACGGAAGTCACCCTCGTTGCTAATTTTATTTATTACGCAATTTAAAAATCGATGCTGCGATTCGAACCGATAAATGAGCAGTGGCGAAGTTTTGCTGTACTGTTCCTCGGAAATTCTTCATTGAATTGTTGGAATCTTGAAATAAATTTTTAAAGGTATTGTAATACCTTACTTATTAAACGTAAGCCTTATGGCAAGTACAACCTATTATTCGCATTTAAGGTTCCGTATTAATTAAACTTCCTTATAATCTCTCGTTAATAAAATTATTAATTTTATCTGAAAATGTTAAAATTTGCAGTCACGTTTTCGCAATAATCCACTTTCATATTTTATATATGATATCATTATGACGCAATGAGCTTCGCGTGAATGTTTCTGACGAGAAGCCTGATTCGGGATAACAAGTCGCTAACTACGAGGGCATAACAGCCGTACGCTAACTGAGTTAATTTAACCCGATTAACCAAAGACTAAGGGCTGACTTGGCTCGTGGGATGAATGCAGGGATGGTAAATAGCTGCGCTGTCAGCTTGCTCATTTTTCAGTAATTAACGGTCAATTTGCACGCGAGACATGTCTTTAAAATTTCATGATAACGTCACGCCGTTGTATTAATACTACATAGAAAAATAAAATCTGTTCTTTTTAAATTCTAAAGCAGAAGCTAATATCTTATAGACACGCGAAAATATAAGAATAGATATGAATGAAGATATTATAGCGGTCATATACTTTAACTCCGTCATATTTATTTACAAAATTTTATTTAGTTTTTGTGTATCTAAAAAGAGTTTTATCTTGTAAATGCAGAAAACTATTGTTATCATTTTTATGTATTATAATGCAAGAGTAGGAAATTTAATTTTGCTAAAATCCTGTTCTATTTTAAGTATCACTTAGACACGCTGCCGCTGACCATTTGTCGTGGTAAAGAGCGAAGATAGCGGAGAAGATTGGATCCTCGATTTAGTGAGCAGTTAGCAGGTAGTGCCGGCCCGGATTACAGAATTAGCCGAAAGATCAAGCGTCATCCGGTGCACGTTTTGGGAGTAGTGGATCCCCTCAAGCACTGCCAACCTCGTATATCCCTCTGAGGCCGTAGTCCAAGGTAGAAGACTTTACCGGGTGCTTGCTTCGTAATTAGCCGGTTTCACTCTCAAAGGCTCGTGTCTCCCTCAAGAGTTCTAACGCAGGCTACATTATTTCGCTATTAGCGCATGAATGCGCTTCATGCGAAACTCTTACAACTCAAGTATGTTGTACGTTTCATAGAAATTAACTCCAAAATAGATTTTATGTTTGTTGCGCTTAAGTCTCTATAGCGGAGAATGCCGCTTTATTTGACAGAGATTTTGAAGTTAGAAAAGTAGGGCACGTACTGTCAGGCGCGCGTTTCCGTATTGCGTCGAACAATAGCCATGCATGCGCGCACACGAGAGGGATGCATCGATATATACACACACGCGCATACACACACACACACACACAGTCGCGACCAACCACTCTCGTCGTACGCAAGCATTCTACGTCAGGGTAATAAAACATTTCGCGTGCGAGGGTATAATTGTCGGGGTCGGGCCCGTGCGCGCGGTTTATACGAAGCTGGTGCTGCGCGGGACGGCAAGGGACGGCGAGGGGTGTGTAGTCTAGGTTTAGGGGCCCCGGGAGGGTACCGCGCCCCCTTTTTCATCCTGTAGTTATTTATCGCCCTGTTTCCTGGTCTCTCTCGCTCGCTCGCTCGCGGCTCCATACACCCTTGGCTCGACCGATGGCGAAGGTGGTATTGCGCGTCCGTATCATCGGTGATAGAACGTGAACGTTTGCGTTGCTGTTGCCGTTGTTGTTGATCGTAACGGTGGTGG